TAGAGTCAACAACAACAACAACAACGAAGAAGAAAGAAAACAAAACAAACAAAAGAGAAAGAAAATATCGATGCTCAGCCATGAAGGGTCTGCTCAGTGCCTCCCTCTGCATCCTCCACCCGCCCCCACTTCCTCCGCCGCACCCCCTCCCTCGGGGCTTGGGCCCCCCCGGCCTCGCAGGAGCTGCTCCTCCTCCACCTGTTAACCCTGCTGACCCTTCAGGGTTCCCCCACCTGCCCTTGCTCGGTGGGCCCCCAGGCGCCCCTGGCTTGTTCTCTGCTGCCAGGGCCTCGCCCCTGCCTCCCAGCACCTGCCCAATGCACAGACTCACACTGCGAGGTGCTGTCACTGATTAACTGTCCGCCCCATGGCATGGTCAGCCTGCGGGGGGGACCCTGCGGTTCCGGGCTCACCGTTTCCCCTGCCAGCACAGGCCGGGCCCAGAGCGTGCGCAGTGAGCGTTTGCCGAAGAAGTCAGCCGGTTAGTTGATGACTGGCAGCTGTGCCAATTAGCAGAGCCATCGTGGAGTGAAAATGAGCTCAAGAAGAACCAAGACCAGCCCGGCCGGTGCTGCTCAGTGGTTAAGCATCAACCTATGAACCAGGAGGTCACAGTTCAATTCCCGGTCAGGGCACATGCCCAGGTTGCAGGCTCGATCCCCAGTAGGGGGTGTGCAGGAAGCAGCCAATTGAGGATGTCCCTCTCTCCTTGATGTTTCTATCTCCCTCTCCCCCTTCCTCTCTGAAATCAATAAAAGTGTATTTAAAAGAATAAAGAAAGTTTAGCTCCTTTCAGCCAGTGCCACCTTGGGATCACGTGTGATCACGTGTGATGCAGCCAGCTGACCTCTGACCCACTGCCCAGACCCCAAGGCCCCTCCACCTGTCTCAGGGGCCGGGCCTCGGGTCACCGCAGGGTCACCAATGAATGGTCAGCCCAAACCAGTCACTGAAATACCAATCACGGCTGCTGGGATAGTGGACGTAAACTTTGATTTCTGTTTCTTTATTTTTATTGTTTACTTTAATATTTTTAATATTAAAATACAACATATTTCTTGGTGGGGGGAGGTTGCAAGAAATATTAAAATATAAAAAGGCAAAAAAGCCCTGGCTTGTTTTGGCTCAGTGGATAGAGCGTCAGCCTGCGGACTGAAGGGTCCCGGGTTCAATTCCCGTCAAGGGCACATGCCCTGGTTTCGGGCTCAATCCCCAGTGTGGGGCGTGCAGGAGGCAGCTGATCAATGATTCTCTCTCATCATTGATGTTTCTATCTCTCTCCCTCTCTATTCCTCTCTGAAATCAATAAATATATATATATATTTTTTTAAAAAGGCAAAAAAGAATCACCTGTCATCCCTCCCACCGAAGCCGTCCTGGGACTTATCGCTCTAACCTCCTTAGCTTGTCCTTTCGCCCTTCATGTTTTCATTTTCCCTGGCTCAGCTGACCCTGGTGACATGTGACACATTGGCATCGGCTGCAAGGCCCCAGGCCCTCTGCCTCCCAGCTGGCGCCCTGGCAGCCCGGGGACTTTGCAGACCCAGGGAAAAGACTGCAGCTATTTTAGTTTATTTTAAATATATTTGTATTGATTTCAGAGAGGAAGGGAGAGGGAGAGAAACATCAATGAAGAGAGAGAATCATGGATCGGCTGCCGCCTGCACGCCCCCTACTGGGGATCGAGCCCACAACCCCGGCCTGTGCCCTGACCTGGTTCATAGGTTGATGCTCAACCACTGAGCCACGCCGGCCGAGCTACTCTTCTTCCGCCAGACACTGGCTTGCTGGGGGCTCCCAGCACATGTGCCATCCTTTCTGAAGCGCTCCAGTGGCCTTCCCTCCGCCCCAGGCCCCCTCACCCCCAATCTGGGCGCCCCTCTATCCCAGCCCGGCACCGAAGAGCGCTTCTTTGCGCCACCATCACGGGCACGAAGCCAAAGGTTTTCCAATGGAGAAGGGAAGGGGTCGTCTGCACTCACAGGCGAAAACGGGTTCGTTAAACGCAAAACACAACACGGAGACGCCTGCGG